ACCGGAAGTGCCATTAGTAGGTGCGGTGTCACGATTTGCGCTCGGCCCTGCTGCTCTGCGATTAACTCTTTGCGTAAAGTCTATAATGTCTGCGCATGTGCAGCAGTCAAGGGTGTTAATTATAACCTGTCAAATGAAAGAGGGGCTTTAAATATCCCTTCTAAATAAAGATGAAAATAATACATACACACAAACATACATATAAGCACATACAAATCTACCTGCGTATAAATAATGTTCTTTTGAAATTAAGTATTTAGCCAATTAAATATTTAGCATGCCAAACTAAATATTTAGTTAACTTTTTAAATAGGTAGTATTTAGGCAAAAACAACAGCAACAACAAAAAACACACTAAATATTCTGTTATAAACCCAGATATTTAGTTAGCAAGCAAAATATTTAACTTACTAGTGAAATTATTAGCTAGCAAGTCAAATATTCAGTTAGCAACCCAGATATTTAGCAAAGCAAGCTAAATATTTAGAGCATCTGCTAGAGAGACTTGCAACCGGGCAAAGATTGTGTTCGCATCCAGCAGCTCTGTTCTCTGCTTCGGGATTATTCACCACTCTGACTAAAGAAAACACAGCATGACTGAGCAGGTGGAGTACCCAGAAGAATATATAGGAAAGTGGGGAAAAATACTGAAAGGAATGGAGAAAAAGTTAGAAAACAAAGAGGGCCAACAACCTGCACGGAACATTCAGAACATTGTTTTTTTTTTTTTATGTATAATGCATGGACAAAAAAGATGCTGCAGCCAGAATCCAGAGTGATTTTGTTTCTAACATGAATCACGTCAGTTTTACAGGAAGGGTTTGAAACCCTTTCTGTTCCTTTAGGGCAGCACTGACGGAAAAAGTGAAAACCACCAGAGGAGATGTTAAACTTTACAATACTCCAAAGATTGACCATTTATAGACCAGTTTCATACCAAGAAAGGAAACAACAAAAAAAGCTGTCTTTCTCTGCCAAATGAAAAGTCCTATGACACCACTTTTGTTATATTTTTCATTTATTAGCATGTACAGCTCTCAGCTGGAAGTTTTTTCCAATACAACACTGAGGAGAATTGCCTTGAGCCTGGTGCATATAAATCAGCAAACAAAACAGAAGCAAAAAGTATGAAAAAGTGAGAAATGGTATCATATCTCTGTATTTACAGAAGATATGCAGGACTTTGGGTGAGGAAAATGCTGACAAGAACTACAGATAAAAAAGAGGAAAGTTACCAAGGTCATGGGAGAAAAAAGCTAAGCGTAAATATATAAATATATGTGTAGCTTGAAAGAGAGCTCAATTACAAAAGTTTTTGCAGCCTTACATTTTTAAAAAATCTTCTCAAACTTCATATTTTATTATGATAAAATGTCAAGTAAGAATATTACACTTTTTTTCTAAAAAGGAAAAAAAAAGTGTCCCTTGTGTTTGCATTCAGCCTTACCTGAGTTAATACTTTTTACAGGCACCACTTTGCTGCATTCATGAATGCTTTTGTTTTTGATGTTCTACACATTTAGATCAAGTTTTTTTTTTTAGATTCAGATGGGATGGAGAGAGATTCTAAATATCAGTCTTCAAATAAAAAAAATGTTCAGTTCAAATCCGTTGCATATTGTAATCACCAAAGTTGTAACACAGAAAGAAACATTTAATTGTTCTGTTGTTTAAACACAACATTTTTATGGGCAGAGTTATACCTGACATCATTATTCTTCTCATTTTGACACACAAACACATGAATGGTGAGATAACTGAAGTTAATGATAGCCATGATTATTGATAGCCATGTTTAAAAATGAAGAATAACATTATTGTAAAAGATTATTATAAAATAAATCATGTTCAGGTTTAAAAAACACACTTCTGCACCATTATGATGCAACATTTCCGACAGAAAATGGGCCTCAAAACCTTTTTTTTTCCCCAGATGGCGACATCACGCCTACCAAAGAAGGCTCGACTTTAGTGGAAAATCAAATTATAATTTTATAAAATACAAAATAATTCTATTTAATAATCTATAAGACTTTAAAAAACCGTCCTTGGTCACATGCGCAGCCTTCACCTTTGACTCAAACTCAACCACACTTAACTAAGACGTCAAAATGTTACCTACTTCCCATTGGTCAGCTGACAGCGAGTTCCTCTTCGTACTCGAATTTGATTGGTTCAAGCCATCACGATGTCGGAATCAAGCTTACGCAAGTCGTCAGCGTGTGTTTCTGTGCATTTGGAAAATGGCGAGCTGGTGTGTCCGAGCAGTGAGACAGAGCTACTCTGTGTTAGCGTCCCCTGCGCTAAAGAGGTGAGCTGCGTTTTTTATTATTTAGCTGAGACTTGGGAAGAACCGCAGGGCTCGCTTTGACCTGAAGTTCAGCCGCTGGTAGGTCACAGCTCATGGTGGGAACCGGTTAGCATGGTTAGCTTTCCCTGCCTTCTTCAGACTTCTCTGTTGACCTTTACAGGAATAACAACTAACACAGGAGATATTTATTTTTACTATATTGGCGGACATGCTGCCACTTTAAAGTCTGACTGCCGTATTGTCACTGACATTGTTGGCGCAGGAGAAAGGTGATGACATAATGTAACTTCCTGAGGTGAAGCTATTTAAAGTGTGTCTGGGACACACTCCGTCATGGAGCTTCTGTTTTTGTTAGCTTTACACTGTGTGTTTGTGCTTGAATTTCACGCTGCGTTCTCTATCCAGCCTGTTAGGACTTTATGAATGAAGCTAGGCGTCATATCACGACGCAATCCGATTGGCTGTTGAGAGATGATGACAAAAATTGACTAGTGATGCAGTCCTTGTCTACTAGTACGAGGCGGCTAGGTTACTTGCGTAACTTATTTGTCGGTGTGTTTAGTCTGTATTAAGCTGCCTTGATGGAATCAAAAGATAAGTGATGTAATTGTTATCTTCCCTTGCAGTGCACCTGTGAGGTTGCTGTGCACTGCCACCCAGCAGAAGAATGGCCCCGGCTCGGAGGAGGAGCCTGAGAAGACGGAGCAGACTCCAGCAGAAAAGGTTCTTACTGAGGAGAAGGTCCAGCTGGAGGACCAACTGAAGGAGATGACAGTAAGAGTCAGCATGTTCATCTACCTATGTGTTTGTCCTTATGGGCATATATTTAAAAAGCATATGAGGCGTTGCGTGATGCATCGCAGTGGTTAGAGCTGGCGTACAGAGGTGGCAGTCTCGAGCTCCGCTTCTTTGCCAGCTCGGTTTCCATTACAAATTTACGCAAAACCTTGTCGATATTTTGCGAATGTCGAAAAAAGCACAATTGCGGTATTTCCATTAAATAAGAAATGCAATTAAATCTAGGCATGAATATGTTTGTTCAGTAATAAGTAACTTAAAAACATGCCACGTCATCATTCTCTTACCACTTCCTGTCGTCGTCTTCGTCTTTTCCGCCAGTAGTAGCAGCTGGTTGTTCTCATTTTGAAAAAAATTTATGATTTTTTGCCAAATATCTTGGTTAATTTTGCAAATGTCTAAGAAAACTATCGGGGTTCTCAGATGTCAAGAAGTTGTAAACCGGCGAGAAAAGAAATTTCAATTTGTAATCTGTAATTTCCCAGTGGTAATATTACTGATATTACTACTAGGATGCATGGCAGATGTCATTGTGATGCACAAAACATTCAGATTTGTTTCACCTAAATTTACTATCTTCTGTCACTTTTTGTGGCAAAATTTCTACTTTTTTTCTTTAAAATTTCTGAAAATACAATGTTAGAAAATGTCCGAGCTTTAATGTTATAAATTTATTCCTTCAGTCATGGAATTTCTTTTTCTTTTTGATAGCAGAGAATATCCAAGTTTTTTTTTTTTTTCTACAAATTTCTGAGTTGTTTTTTTCTTCTTTGTTTTGGTAGAAATGTTCTCCCCTGTAGCCAATTGTTCTTTGTCCACTTTGTGTCATTTGCAGGAAAAGTATAAGAGAGCTCTAGCAGATACAGAGAACCTGAGGACCAGGAGTCAACGGATGGTGGAGGACGCCAAGTTATACGGTAAAATATTCTCCATTTTTAGAACAAAGCTGTTTGAAAAACACTGGTTTATGCTGTGTTGCAAAGTGGGGGGCCTCCAGAGGGTGCTGGAGGGGCATCAGAATGTTAGAGAGATGAGAAAAAACATTAAAAAACAAACAAACAAAAAAATTTAATCCCATAAACTTTTTAATATAAAATTTTTCATCAAACTTGTATTCATTTATAACAAATAGAATATCATTTAAATGTTTTTTTTTTCTGAAGCTTGTTTTCTGATTGCCAGTCAAATTCATCAACCTGCTTTGCTGCTCAAGGTGTCAAGAAATTAAAAAGTTGAAAAGAAAAAGACTAAAGGAACTGACAAGCAGCAAAAAACCCTCCCAAAAAACAGATAAACCAGACATACTTTTTCTACAGTTACCAATATGAACCACTAGATGTCACAAATGAGCAACAAAAACACTTTGGTTGTTTTTGAAGTGGCCAGATTGGTTTAGAATGTGTAACATAGTTCTAATAATACACTTAAGGGCCTGTCATTGTCCAATACGTGGTCAGGTTTCCATAATTTAAGCTTTTAAAAGAATAAATAGTCATATTTCAAAGCCATGAGCTGTTCAAACCTCTTCCATTCTCTCCAGGCATCCAGGGCTTCTGTAAGGACCTCTTGGAGGTGGCTGACATCCTGGAGAAAGCCACGGAGAGCGTTCCAAAAGAGGAGGTGACGAGTCAGAACCCTCACTTGAAGAACCTGTACGACGGCCTGGTGATGACCGAGGTCCAGATCCAGAAGGTCTTCACCAAGCACGGCCTGCTCAAGCTCAACCCCGAGGGCCAGAAGTTCAACCCCTATGAGCATGAGGCGCTCTTCCATGCCCCCGTGGAGGGCAAGGAGCCTGGGACCGTCGCCGTGGTGACCAAAGTGGGCTACAAGCTGCACGGCCGAACCCTGAGGCCGGCATTGGTGGGCGTGGCCAAAGCTTCCTAGGACTGATTGGCTAATGGCGTAACGAAGCGGGGTGAGCGCTGCCAGTGGAAGACAACGGACTTGGCAGACTGCCCAAAGCAACGCGGTCATTTCCCTCAAAAACTGTCCTCACATTCTGAGACTGGGCCAGCAACGCAAACTCTGGGGACAGCGACCAGCAGTTTTAAACTTCTGCTAGTAGACGGGCCTGTACAGTAAATATGTTATCATCATCATTGTGGTTTGCGTTTTTTCAGGATCTGTTAGAAACACAAAGTTACAAGAAGCTTTCACAGTGTGGAGCAGCCCAGCATCATTAAACCAGAGGTTTTAAATAAAGGCATGTTGGGTCTGAGTTTATACATGAGGGGTAGAACCCATTCTCCTGCTGGTGTCATTCCTAACTTCTGTTTTTATGGTTTGTCTTTTAGTGCTTGGAGTTTGAACTGCATCACTGAATTAAAGCTAAAGAGATGTGATGGAAACAGGTGATGGATCCTTGTGCAGTTTCAGTAAAATCAAAACTTTTTGTCATCTTAACTTCATAATAATATTGATGTATACCTACAGTGCTGGGCACACTTCCGCTAAAATGCTAATAGCGGAGCTACTTTTCACTTAGCACTTTTGCTAACTTTGAAAACTGTTTAGCGCACTTAGTTCCCTTAGCTCAGTTTCTCTGGATAACTTCTAAAATGCAATGGGCAAACTTTCAGATAAAAGTTCAACATCTCTGAAGTTTTGGCTATTTACTGATAAAAAAAAATTCAAGTAATGAGACAATTATATTCACGCTCTTATTTTGAAGTGAGTAAAAACTGTGTAGGCAGTAATGTTTCCTCACCTTGCCTTCTCTTTAAAAATAAAAAATCCCCAATAACATTTCAAGCAAACATACAGGAGCAAAATAAAGCACAGTACAGAACAATATATAAAAATAAATATATCTGGAGCATTATAGGAAGTGAATGATGTCAAAATAAAATTTTTGTTTGAGGGTTGGTTATCCTTTAGGGGCAGATATTTGAATTGAAATCATCACAGTAGCATTAGCTTCTGCTAAATAACATGTTGGTGTAGCGCATTAGCAAAGCTAATATTTATGATTAGTGCTTTAGTTAGCGGTGTCCACCACTATATTAGCATGTAGGAATGATCTAACCTTCACCAATATGTCTGCATTGTAAGTTTGAAAGATTGAATGTTTTGGTAAATAAAAACAATGCAACTAGATTAAGTCTCCATTGGGACAGCTTCTTCTTCCTGGTGAGTCGGTCAGGCTCCGCCCTCCGTGTGGCTTTTGTAGGCCTGACTCAACTCTGAGCCACACAGAGGTACGGAGGCATAATCATGCCTAGCCCAAAAAGAACTCTGCTTTTGAACCTGGTTGTTTCCACTTTTCAGAGGGAGGAACTTTACAAATAAAACTATTTGTCTGGGTGGAGCAGGACACACTACAAATGAAGAGGAAAGGGCATGGTCAGATTAGCCTTAGCAAAAAAAAAAAAAAAAAAAAAAGATGAACTCTAAAGGCATGCATTCCCATGCACTACAACTTCATTATGTATTTTGATACTTTAAGTCAAGTGTATTTAAATAGAACATTTAAGCAACAAAGCACTTCAGATTGCTTTATACCATAAAAGCAGTACAGTAACAAATTATGAAACATTACATTTTGTCAAATGCCTTCATCCAAATTGCTAAGTAAATACACAAATATTGATCAAGTATGCTGATAAATATTCTGTTTTCTGGGAGTTTGTTTTTGAATGCTGCACAGATAAACCCACCTTGACTTATGCTGCTGGAAAATTATATTTACAGCATGTAGATGGCAACTAACTGTCACTATGGCGACGTGGTGCCCACTCCCACTACGTGACTTTTGTTTGCTTTTCACCTACGATCAAGTTAAAGATAAATACTCAACTTTATTGATTTTGGAAGCGATTAATCAAAAAAAGGATTTCTAAATTTAAATGTTTTACTTTTGTATTCTTTAAGATTATGCAACTGCAGTAAAACTTTTTTTGTTTGTATTTATTTATCTTTTCCAGGGTTGCCAATAATCACATAAGGCGCTGTATGGGATTCAAGTGTCTGTCTTAAAGGCCACGTTAGTATAAACAAGCATAATCTAATCTAATCCAATCAAATAAAATAATCAATAATTACCCCAAAAAGTACTTCCTCCTCTCTTTTATGTTGTATTATCTTTCAAACATGATCCACATCAGCTGTTCACCATCTGTAAAACTCATGGCTTCAAGCCACATGCCTTAGTTAAATAAAATAATACAATTTTACTATCAAACTCTTAAACTTGACTGCAGAGCTGCACTTGTAAACATTTTAACCATGGAACTTTTTGCTGTTTGCTTCTAGTCGCACCTACATGGAGTTAACCCCCAATGCAAACTGGGTCCACTGACAAACTATACAAGCCAGCATCCGTTGGCAATAAACAATAAAATAAGCTTGGTTAATAATTTACCATGCATACCGAGGTCAGCATCTCAGTCAGAAATCAGACTGACTCGATGACGAGACAAGAAGACTAATTATGAAGTACTTGCACATGAGAATTGTGCAAGTAGCATGCGGAATGGTCTGCATGCTACAACACTTTTTTAAAAATCCCACATCAGAATCCCAGGAAAACAATGGCAATGATGGAAACTGTAGGATCGTTTAGTACTTCTGGAATCAAGCCTCAGTGGTGACCGAGAAACGCTATAAATTATTGTCCTCTTTGAAATTTCAAACACACCCCAGCTTCATCTTCCTCACAGCTGGCGTTACAGCGTCTCCCAGGGTTTCCTGATACTTGATTGAATCCATCTTGTTCTCCATAAGTCACGGTTTTCCAGAGCCGAAGGAACGGCGCCACCATTCTTCACTGTGCGCATGGTGTTCTTTTCCTCCTCCAGTAATGCAGTTGACATGCCCAGAAAGAACATCTTGTGGATATTTAAATAGCTGTAAGCAAATCAGAGTGGATTTTCTGGTACTTTTGAGTCAGAAGTAATAAATGTTTTGGAACTTAAGGTATGAACGTCTTCCATCACTTCCTCTTTCTGCCACCAGGTGGTACCCACAGAATCTGAATCCGATTTCTTTCTTGGTGAAGGGAAACATTGTGACCAAAGGAACCTCATCAACATGCAGATCTCATTCACTTCCTGTTTAACCCTTCTCTCTGTGAGCTTCAACAGCATCAACATTAGATCTACCCTATGATCTCTCTAAATATTAAATTAATTAGCATCAGAGAAGCAAAACAGCTCTGTGATTCGAGACCAGTAGATGGAACAAAAAATAAAAAAAAAGAAGCATTTTTTTTTGTGTCAAAAATCTGTTTTTAATACAAAATCTATAAAAATTTGCACAAAACAAAATACTGTACATTACACATTTCTTATCTTACAAATTATTTACATTTGGTTCACATAAGTAAGCAAAAACACCCTCTTTTTACAACTTGTTCTAAAAAGTCCTGACCAAAAGCTGAAAAAAAAAAAAATCAAACAGCTTCAATTTCAAGCTTTCAGTCATCAGCTGGAAATAAACGCCACCACCGAGTGTTCAAAACATAAAACATGTATGCTATATTTAGATTTTTCAACCTCCAACCAGTGTTTCTTTTAAGTCCAACACCGTTTCTGGACTCATATAAACGAGGACAGAAGGTCTCACTGGTCTCAGTGTATGTCTGGAAAAGATAAAGTCCCACACCCATTAGCCTGTGAGAAAGATACGCTTCAGGACATCCGAAGACTTCAATTGTCAAATTTGCCCATACGAGACGATGAAAACATTGGTTAGGATCTTATTTTGAACACTTCACATCTCCTTTCAACAGAAATACATTCACTACTTGGACACATTGATTGTTGTATCACAAGAACGTCTACAGTCTCATTACATCCAGGGGATATGCTCAAAAGTGATAACCCCCAACCGTCCTTTGCTGGCCACGGCAACCATTAACAACAAATGCAAACAGATGCTCCAGGATCAACTCACATTTTCTTCATTTCTTTTTAACAACTGTTGGATAATCCAAGAAACATATAAGTAAGATGGGGTCAGTTTAGCTTTAAAGTAGAATTAAACAAACAAGAAAAACCAACGTAAGAGCAGTGATGAGGAAATAAAGTATCTGGTAATGCTGTTCAGGTTCTGACCTCAGAATGAGAGACTTTGGGAGAAAGGAACACATGGTTTTGATGCACAACCTGAGAAGCAGAGGATCTTTCTTAGGGTTTAGAGAACTAGTACATTATTTTTTTATACCCTTATGTAGAAAGAATATCTAAGATGTAATGCATTCATGAAAGGCTTTAGAGCTAAATTAACCAATTACTCCTAGTACAGATAAATACCCCTCACGGTAGGTATAAGTAAAAAAAAAAAAACAAACTTAAAATGATTTATTCAGTGGAGAAAGTCCCCAACCGGTTGCCACCAGAAAAAACAACAACAAAAAAACAAAAAACCCTTTTCTTCTGTTCTAATATCACCAACATAAACTTGGGGAGTTTGCTCAAATTGTGTGCTTTGGTCAGACTCAGAACTTTTTTGATAAATTAAAAACTCCGGGCAGCTTTGGCAGGAAACAAGGGACGACGATGTTAAGAACAGTTGCGGTTCTGTGGGCCTTCCAAAGATCCAGGGAACCTTGTCAGAAAAGGGTTGCATCATGGAATACCAGGCAACTTTAGATAAAATTATGCCAGTAAAAGGAGAACGTGTGACATTTAACCAGACATTGACACCCAAGATCAATGTTCTTTATTGGCCGTCAAATTACTTAGACGGCCAATAAAGAAGAGGGTCTCTAGAAGACTATAGAAGACTTAGGGTCTTTTATAGACCCTAAGTCTATAGAAGATCTAGGAAATAGCTGATCTAGTCAAAGATCCCTCTCCGTCTCTTCTCCATCCTTGTGAGTTGTCTTAGGAAATATAGCTCTGTCCTGCTGGGAACAGGGGGTCTGTATGAAGTATTGACAGCAGGGATACCAGTAAGTTTGGCTTTTACATGTCTTTATCAGGAGGCCAAGAAGTCTTTTAGCTTCTGTCTTTGTAAAACCAAGTTCAATAACACTCAGGTGAAACTGCTACAGAAAATTTAGCAGGTTATAAAATGTGTTTACACTTATACCTCATCTCGATTAAGTAGTATGGCATGAGTCAGTTCACTACATTGTTTCTATTGTAAAAATGACTCATACAACTGACCTGATTCCTGGGCCCGTTCGGTTGGAGGTCAACAGGAGAACGGTATGGTACGATTAAGGTGGAGCTATTACTGTCACACAACACACTCTACTCATTGGAGGAAATAAGACATTATCGCTTGCATCAAGGGCAATACATACTAATCGGTAAAGTTTGTCATCACATTAGTATGTCGCAATGCCAGGTGTTTGGGTTTAACCCACCTACCTAGTTAGACTCCAATTGGCGGTGGAAATGTGTCCGGAATATGCCAGTCCATAAACTAGCATAACGAACCGTTCCGTACTGCTCACTGGAATCAAGGCAATGCTCTTCTCTGACCTAGGTTTAGGCACTTTTGTATTTTAACAACCCTAATGGTAGCGAGAGAACTGTCAAATTTCTGGGGAACCTTTTAGCGTTTTTAACAGCTTTAATCACAACAGTGTCCACTCTTGACAAAGGCAAATAAAATTCACGAACCAGACGTCGGTGGGTTTGAATTAAACACGACTCGGCATCCTACTTTTCCCCCATTTTTAACATACTATCAAAATACTTTCAATCTGCCGGTTATTAATTCAGCTGGAACTTCAATGAACATTGGCAGTATCCGCTATTGGACAACACTCAACTTTAAGCTTCTCTTTTGGTGCTTACAATAAATGTTTCTTTAGTCTACTGACCATTCATTACCCCTTTAGTGCTAATGTAGCATTGACAAAACAATGTGATGGTACCAGTGCATGAAATTGAATGGAATTCCGTAAATCGGTTCAAATATAGTGAAAACAAAAAGGTCATCACAAAGGTTCCTCAGCAAACACGTGGTTTCAAACACCAGATGAGTGGAACACCCTTATTTTTCAGTATGAAATAGGTTTCACTCGATCGTTCTTTCACCTTTACAATGATGCTTAGGAGTGACACTTGAGATAAATAAATCCCAAAATGCACAATACCATAATTTATTCATCAAGAATTGTAGCGGGAAGCACACAATAGTAAACTCAAAAGGTGCTGGACATTCTTGAGCCCAGCATTTTTCTTTTTTTTTTTTTTTAACTTTTCTTCCTAGACCTTGTATGAAAATATAGTTATTATTCCAGTGGGGCATCTTTTCTATTTGAATTGTACATATTCGCAAAGTGAAAAAAGAAGAAGTAGAAAAAGTAGTCGGTCAGAGGCAGTAGTTCCATCCAGCCTCCAGAGTGTGAAGCTAGTTGGCTACCAGCGATCGTCGGCTTTTGATTACCGACCGGAGACGGATCGCTACGAGGCGTCTCTGGATATCCAGCCGCTCTCTGTGAGGAAGGTGAGAATGCGCTTCTTGAGAACCTTGTCCAGGTAGCCGGGCAGTCGGCTTTTTGCCGGGATGCCCTGCCTTTTCTGCAGGTGGTCTTTGATGATGATGGTTTTGACAGTCAGGTAGCGTGTTGGGCTCAGGTTAAGAGAGTTGCACAGCACCTTCTCCCGATCTGACAGCAACTCAAACCCCGTCAAGTTCTCGATGGCGGCAAACTCTCCATCTTTGCTTTCTTCCTTGATCCCGCCTCCAACCCCGAGCCCCACCGTGACGCCGCCTCCACCACCTGCCCCGCCGCCGCCAAGTCCCAACCCAGAGCCGAGCCCGGCCCCTCCCGACCCGCCGCGTTTGGAGGCCACCACGTTTTTGTTCTCCTTGCGCTTCTCCCGTTTGTGACGGGCGGCTTCGTACTCGGCGGACTCCTCCAGGCGCGTGATGCCGTTGCGGCGGTAGCGTTGCAACTCGCGCACCTTGGCCCTCAGCACCCGTTCCTTGTGCATATTCTCGAAGAACTCCTCAAACTCTCGATGGGCCATGAACTGGCAGAGCGCCCGTAGCCTCACTCGCTGCTCTTTCTCCTCCTTGGTGATCTTTCTTTTGGGTGTGCTCGGGATAGGGACGGATCCCGTCGTTGTCGTGGAGGCCGGTCCGACTGCAGCGCTACACGCTCCCGATCCACCCGTAGGGACAGAACCGCCTAAGACTTGCAACCCTCCAGGCTTCTCTTTCTCCTTGTCTTTCTTATCTCTGCCGAGGAACCCAGGCACCAAGTTGTAGTCACGGGCAATGTTCTTGCGCCGCTGCCTCTCCCTCAGCTTGCGCACATACATGTCTACATGGGCACGTTTCAGTTCGATCTCCACATCCTCGTCATCGTAGTTAACCGACAGCCCGCTGATGAGCTTCTCCGCATCCTGGTCATACTCGATTTCGTAGTCGTCACGCAGAGGCATGTATCCGAGCTGCTGCTGCTCAGCCAGGCTTATGTCCAACGGGGGCAACGGGGTGGTGAGGCTGGGTGATAGGGGGCCCCCGCTTGGGCAAGTGTGGTCAGTTACTCTGTTGGGAATACTGTCGGGAATGCAGGCTTTTCCAAGGTTACCGTGAATGTACATGGTGACGTAATGCTCCATGACTTCCTGCGGCGTTCGGGATGGTCCGACGTGTGCAGCCATGTCCTCCTTCAGGAGAGAGATGCACATTTGTATAAGCACACACACATGCAAAAAGAAATATATCAATGGATATAATACAAATTATAATATTGGGTAGTATGTTTAGCTAGGTGAAAAATCCGCATTTTTTTTTTTTTTTACACCCATTTGACAAAAAAATACTTCATAAAAAAGATTACTTACACTTGTAGTGTTTATTTTTGGAAATGTTATAAATATACTGCTTGAAAACATTTAGAAATGGCTAAATCTAACATTTTCTTGAATTACTTTTACATTTTAAAACATGGATTAATTCTTTAGTATTTTTGGTCAAAGTTATTAAGAGGATGATCTAAATAATGACAAGCTGCAGAATAGTGTGCACATTTATTGTATCATATTGTTATTAATTTATTGTGATACATTTCTAATTATAATAGATTTGATTTATTGTCGCAATATCATAAATTACTGATGTTAAAATAACACTGTATTGTCTCTCCACTGTTTGTTCAACAAAAGTATCAATAAATATGAAAATATGATTAAATGCAGCAACTGTGTACAGTTTAATAATACAAATCAGACTTCTTTATCTGACTGCTGTCCCGAAGAAGCATATTACACATGTATATGTTATTCCAGAGCAGTATTTGTGTTTGTGGTGACAGTCACTTTCATACAGTTACCTAAAAAATAAGTAATTAATAGTTCTTACTGTCACATATATTAAAGGATTTTTTAATGTCATACCATTTTTGCTTGTTTGTGGTACAAAAATTGGGTCTCAGGTCCCAGATTAAGAAATTTAATTCACAAATTAAAACAATTTATTGGATATATAGATATTTATATATATTTTAAAAAGTGTGTGTGTAAATAATTTATGAGATGCAGCTGAATTATCATTAATTAGATAATTTAATATTCCTTAAATGATTCATTCTGAAAAACGTTTGTTAAACGATGTTTTTTGTTTTTGTTTTTTTCTTTTTGACCGATGCAATATAGGAATAGAAACAATGCGGTAAAAGCAAAAACAACGCCGTTGCTGTGGTCATTTATCACAATCAACACTAAGTTGTAGTGTTGCGCCTCAGCGAAACACACCAACAGATCCGATTCATGAATAGTTTCTTCAGAAGCAGCAATGCATTAAAATGGAAAAATAATTCAAATAAATCATGCAAGTATTTCATATGCATTACATGCAGCTGATGTATTCCCATCTTAAACTCACTTTTAAGCGGTTTTAGTTCAAAATCCAAATTATTCAAAGCGATCAAACTTAAACGTATTTACTTTATACTTAAATAGATAAAATACAGCTTCCAATATGTGAAGCGTATTCTATTCTAATTTAGTTTTATTTATTTATTTTTTACAAATACTAAATAGTGTCTGTTCAGTTGGCTGATCCAATTTAGCTTCCATCTTTTGCAGCTTCCATACTTGACCATGTAAGGTTGTCAAAATGCCAAACACATTACGATCACGTTTTGTTTGGCATAAAGGATGTGTCACACACTACAATAAGAAATCTAGAATCTATAAAGACAAATCAAAGTCAGGTTTGACTTTCTATAGTAATGCAGATTTTACATCAGAGTGAGCCGATCAAAGCAGAAGTCTGTTTAAATTCAGCTTACTGTGGGACTTTATGTGATCATATCAGGCTAAGACTGACAAATAAGTGTTCAATCAGAAAAATATTGACAAATTAATAAGCTATCTGCATATTCATCACAATACTATGTATGGAGGAAAACTGCCACTGTTCATATAACTGTATAAACACCATTGTTCTATTGAAACATGGTGGTGGTATTTATAAAGCAGGGACAGGGAAGACGGTGAGAATTAACTGTAAATGCTGATTGGTCAAATAAACATAATTAATTTGGTAAGAAAAGATCTAACTGTTCTGAATACCATGAAAGTATCTCCGAAATCTATAGAGCCTGGAATCGGAACACTGCCAAACTTTTAAAATTAGGTAAAACATTACTAATGAAGTATTTCCAATTCGGTCTGTTCTTTTAATTCTCAATAACATTGTTAAGGTTTCGTAAAGTTTAACAACAGTCTATGTTTACTTAAAAGTTGACATATTTCGCCGCTGAAACCAGTGGACATGTTGTACTCATGCCAACATGAGTACAACATGGTGGTGTTTCTATGCTATTTAAATCCAAACTTATGTCATTAAATGATAAAGTGATGTACCCAGTTTCCAAAGCCGTACTGTTCGATGGCATCGAGCAGCGACTGCTCTTCCCTGCTAGTCCATCCTCCCTCTGCCTCTGGACCCCACAGTGAGAAAAGCCCGCCGTCGACCTGCTGGTAGCCGTGCCATCTACGATGGTTGCCGATTTCGGCGCCCGCCGAGAAGCACTCTGGGCACAGCTCGATATCTGGGCAGTCGGTGCAGCGAAGCCGCAAGTTGGTGACATCTGCTAGGCAGTTAACGCAGTACTTCTTCCCCAGGTCCGCCATCTTGCCTGGCTGCTGCTTCTTGTTGTAGGAGGCTCCACTCGGCGCCTGCGCGCAACGAGCCTCACAGCTCGAGCCACTCGCACACTCCTCTTGTTAATAATCATGGGAAAGCGTCAGAACGCCTCTGATTGGCTACTGAACTCAGTTTCCAAGACAACGCAAACCAAACGAAAAGTGTCACCGACTACAGAACTGCACGAGCTTTTTAGTTTTAGGCAAATCAAACAATTCTTCAGCGAATTTAAAACTTAAAATGGAGAAAGAGAATGAAGAAAAGAAGGAATTTGATAAATTAGTATTCTCAGATCATGACGAAGAATTTTCTAGCAGCAGGGAAGTCAAAACAGACCCTTCTATTGAAGAACCAGCCACCTGTGAGTCAGAACACACAACGGCTCTCAAAACCAACTCTGAGCACGCGCTGTCACATAGTCAGAGTGTTATTTTTGAGACTAATAGGAGGAACAGTGGCCGATATTTGGGGTTAAACCTAGACACCCCAAAGACAGAGAGTCCGACGCAGGAGGGAGACGGTTCTACTGCTGCTGCTGAAGGTACAGACGACAAAAAAGACCAATACGAAGATTCCCTCAAAGAGCTGAGCACACAGAGAGACGAGGCCCGCCGACTAAACAGGCAGCTGCAGATGAAGCTGGCTCAATACTTCCACAACACAGCCATTGATGGGGGCCAGCTGGGGAGAGGCAGGCCTGAGGAGGAGCAGCTACGGGAGTATGAGCGGTCCGTCCAGGTCCTGTCTGAGCTGAAGCAGCAGCTCAGCACTGCTTCACAGACGGCCCAGCAGCAGGCAGAGGAGCTCAGGTCACAGGCCCGCGACAAGCTGGGGAAGGTTGGTGTCTGGGCTACAAAAGTGTGTGAAAAAAGTAATTAACTCCTGCTGTTAAGTCACGAGTTCACTTTTACCACAATTTGATAAGTTCATTTTCATCCAGGTTTGATTACAGACAGATATAATCAAGAAATCAACTGCCTGACAACATAAAGTAGGCTAAAAGATATTAAAAAGCAACAAATTGTGGCAGTACTTGTATTTATTGGAGCGTTCCTACAGGCCAACACCAGAAAAAACACAAAGGAAGGAGCTTTTTGAACACTGCAAATTCACCCAAATGCTGAACATCATTTATTTATGATGTTCAGCCTGGTTGCTTCGTTATTTGCACTATTTGCTTTTTTTTTTTTTATGTTGTGCTTTCTTGCACAATGACAGCAATTCTGATTGCTTGGTAGCAGTCAGTCTTTCAACAAACTTGAAGACTAAATACTGCTGTCACAAAAAAACAAAAATAAACTTTTTGGACAAAGTTCCTTAAACTGATGAGACAAAAGTGGATTTTTTGGAAACTGTCCATCCTGTTACATGTAGTGCAAAACTGCATTTCAGGAAATTACAAACCATACTATTTAAACATGGCAGACGACGGTTGACTGCTTGGCCGCCTTAGGATTTTTCTTTGTTCTTTTTTTTCCCTCCATTGCCTTTGATTAGTTATCAGTTGATATGCTTTTATGTTATTTCTATTTCATTTAGATTCTTTTAAATGTCTGCTTTATTTTGTTTTGGATTACCGGTGCTGGCTAACAACTGATGGTGCCATCCAGGACATGTTACTGTGGAATATTGTCTGGAAATTGAGCTCTTAAGTGTTTTAGGCCTTAGGCACTCAAAACTGTCTAAGTATGTACATTTATAGTGAACCCTGGCAAAGATAGGCTGAAAGGCCTTGAATGTCAATCAGCATTGAAGTAATGATGACTTTTTGCACATTTTTACCAGAACTGCAGACATTTCTGGGTCCCTCTGATTAGAAGAGCCCAGTGGTTCTTCCCAAGTGTTGAGCAGGTGCAGATTTATCTCTGCCAGAGAGGCAGAGGAGGAGACAGCAGCTACAAAGGCGGCCATTGTTGCTCAAACTCAGCTGTTTCCCCGCAGCTCTCACTCTGAAGACTTTAATGAAAACTAGCAGCTCTTTTAGATATATAGAACATGTGGCTGATGGGTGAATATGTGCAGAAAGTCCTTTTATTGCATAGGTGAGTTCAATGTTATTTAATAAATTAGAATTATTTTTATTGTCTGTTGTGAAGTTTGCATAAGAATATGAAGAAAACTAGCTTAATGTTGCTGTTATGTGTTGAATTTTTCAATTTTTTGTAATCCTGGCAGGAAGGAAACGAGAACAGAAGGTAGAACAGAGGAGAGAAGGAAAGACAGCAGAAAGAGGAGGAGAGGACATAAAAGACAGGGTATTATAGTAAATGTTTAAAATGGATGACAGAACAGAGAGAAAGAGAATACACTTAAAAGCTCATATAACCATACTGACATATATATCTGAGTATTTTTAATGTCATACTTGTGAGAGCATTAGTTCCTATATTCTCATTTTTATTTGCCAGAAAATATGTATTTTTTCTTAGAATAATTCAGGGGTTTTTGTATTCTGATGAACTTCACAGTCATGATGGAGCAGGTCAGCTGACTCACTCGAGAATTTAAACATATATAACTTTAAGTTTGATTCTGTAACGAACCAAATGACGTTTAATGTCTGAATGTGTAGGATCTGCTGCCATCTAGTGGCACAAACTGCAACACGACGCAGTCCTGTGATGTCATCATTTTTAGCTACATCTTAAAAAATGAATCGTGAGGAGATTAAAAATATTTTGTCACTCGTTTGATAAATTATATATTAAATCGATTCATTACACATACAGTGAAATATTTCAACCCTGTGCTTTTTGTAATTTCAATGACTATGGCCTACAGATGAAAATCACAAACTCAACTTCTAAAACTTTTTGGAAACTGACGGCTAAACGGCCCAGTTTTAAGGCATTAAATTAGGAAGTAAAACTTATTTGAAGTCATATTTGACTTATGCACCATTGTTATAACAAATGGAGGTAACACGGTTATTTGACTGTGCTATAAAATGTCACTATATGGCCCAGAAAATATTCCTTCATTTATTTCAAACAGGTTTTCAAAAGCAAGAAAACAAGCAATCAGCAGGACAAGAGAAAAACTTGCAAAATTATGAGCTTACCACTGATTTTACAATAAAGAAACGTTTTATTTTATAAATATGTCTTGTGTGACACATTGAGGTGGAGGCAGAGTGGGAGGCTTTCCTTGCACTGAAGCGGGATGCTGCGTTGGCGGCGCTGAGCCCCCACCTGGGGTCGGACCTGGCCCTGTCCAAAGTGCAGGCGGTGCTGACAGCGGAGCAGCTCCGGCAGAACCAGCTGACCAGGCTGCGTCTGAAGCACTTCTCACTGAGGTCCAGGATCCAGAGGCTGGAGGCAGAGCTCCATGGCCAGCACCCCCAGCGGGTCCAGTTGGAGGAGCTGCAGGCCAGCATGCTGGAGAGGAAGAAACAGGCGGGAAGGGAAAGAGATGAATCCCTAAAGCTGCAGAGGAGGATCAGCAGCAGCCTGGAGGTGAGCTGACCGGTCCAACAACGTGTTACAGCGTTAACCGCTTAACCAGCGCTGACCTGCTGCGCCCGTCAGGTCCTGTCAAACGTCAGAGAGAAGCTGCTCTGGAGCCAGGTGGAGATCCGGGCCAAGCGGCAGCAGCTGGCTGAGGTGGAGGTCCTGGTGGCGGAGAGGAGGGACGTCCTGACCCAAACCAGGCTGGAGCGGAACCGCCTGCAGAGAGCCAACGGCAGACTGAAGCAGCGCTTTGGGCTGCTGGGGGACGGAGACCTGCTGATGGACTTGGAGCAGACGATGGACGCCTCACAGCTTTTAGAGAAACATCTGGAGGAGCTGAGGCTCAGGAAGGCCGAGGTTACCTCCAGGTGTGGGGCGGGGAGGGGCAAACCACAGTCATTTCAGGGGTAGACCCTAAGCTTTTTTTTTTTAAATTTTATTTTATTTTTTACCTTTTTCTTTGTTATTCCCTTTTTGCTTCCTTCTTTCCTTTCTTTTACTACCCATCATCTTCTTTCCTCTTTTCCTCATGTTTTTTTAAGGTCTGGACAATATGGCTGGAAAACGCATCACAATATAAGCGTTTCATGTCACTTGTCAATGATTATTATTTTTTTATTTTAAATATCTGAAAAACTCTAAACTTTCCTGTTTCATCCAGTTTTCATTTCATTCTGCAGTTTTTTTAATCATTTTTTTATGCAGTGATGAGTGACTGTGGCAAAACCTGAAACTGCTGCTGACAAGTTACTGGCAGGTTGTTGCTAGGCAACCAATGAGCAAGTGAGTTTCCTGAAGCCACCAACCTTCTTTAGCCAGCTGTGAGAGGTTGAGCAGATAAAGCCTTTCCTCTGCCTATATCCCCCAGAATGCTGTGCGGTTTTGGATCGGAGTTCAGTGAATATTCTATCAGATGTGTTACCTCTTGATATTGATCACATGTCTATTGCAATATATGTTGTTGTTGATATTGTCTAACTCTGTTTTTTAATCCCTTGCCCTTTCTTTTCTTTCTTTTTTCTCTCTTACCATTTGCCATTTCTTTTTCCTCACTATATGTAGTTTTTGTACTGTATGTCTGATTTGTATGTATGAAATTGTATAAATGTTTGTATTTTGTGTTTGTTTTATGGAACTATGGATGAAAATTAAAATTTTGCTAAAACATGCAATGTTGGTATTATTACAACATTGCATGTTCATCATTAATATGCTCTGCCACATTTAAATAAAATTAGTCAGTAGGCAACTTTTAGTATATCACTTATAAAATGATAACACTTGTAGCTTTTTGCTCAGACTGCAGAGGACAGTTAAAAGTAAAAGCAGAGATATTTAAATGGTCTAATAAAGAAATAAATCATTGCACTTAAAATACAAAAGTAATTTTAAAAAATGTGATCTTAACCTTATGTTTTATGATTTTATTGACCTTTGATGTATTTGTTTTACATCAGAGAACATATTGAAGCACATAATAGAATCTTAGCTTTATAAATTTTTATATATATATACAGTTTGTGTCACTGAAGTCCAAGATCCCATGTACAAGAGAGCCTGGTTCAGATGCAACAAATAGAATTACAAACACAACAAAACAAGCAATCGAGAAACTTGATAGAATTAAAATAAGCTAATAAAATACCAGATTAAAACAAGAGCGAGTTTCATAAGAAGATTTCTCCTTTTGACTTAATCCTGCCGCGGTCTTAGCGGACATGAACCTTAAACTCTACCACATTAAGTGTCAGATTTAAGGTTCTTTAATTTCCAACTTCTCTAGAAACTGCTGGAACTCAGGGTGGAGAGAATCCATACAAATATGGCGTCCATCAGTCAGGCTGACACTGGAAGGCAAAAGACACATCGCTGGGTGTAAATTATGGCGTGCAAATATAAAACATTTCAAAATTAAGCAGTGATTGTAATCGGTCAGCATTTGTTACAGCAGAGAGAAAACCTTAGTAAGATGAGGGCAGGACAGTTGGATGATAGGAAGTTCACATCCACCAACTGAACGTCCTTCAGGTCAAAGTTGTTCCACATTACAAAATGTATGCAGGTAACACAAGTTTCTGGAAAGAAAACTTTAGACAGTCAGGGAAAATGAATACACATGGCCATAAATAACTCGCATTCAATAAGTTGAAGTATGATTAAAAAGTTAATTGTTTTAGTAACTGAAGCCACTAAATGAAACATATTATGGATTCATTACTGGAAGACTGATGATTTCTAGACTTTACTTCTGTTTTTTATTAAATGAAAAAACAACATTTAAGATTTGAATATTACATTAGATTATAAATGATATTTTACTTTTACTTCTTAAAAAGGGTGCAATACTGAGTAAACTGATCATAACATCTGACTAAGTATTTCAAAATTATGTAGCCAGACAGACAAAAAAAAATTAGTTATGTGCAGATTCTGGTCTTTAAAAACTAAAATGAATAGGAAAGATTGCAAAACTAAAGAATATATTTATAAAATACCAAATTTAGGGAGAAGAAACACTTTTAAAATATATTTTTTTCAATGTAAAACTTATGAAACAAAGTAAAAGTAAAAGTAAGTATAGGTTTCCGTGCGTGTGTTTTGAGTCAGTGAAGCTACTTGCAGCAAGTAGAGCATCCATAAATGTTATTCAAGTAAAATTAGCAATACTTCATAATATTAGTTAAGTGAAAGTAAAAACATGTTATAAGAATACTGATAAAAATATAGTTCTTCCAAAAAGTTACTCAACAAACTGTAACCAAGTAAATGTAAGTAATGCATCTCTGTGTGACACTATTTTAATCTGTGCCGTTTTCAACCAAAGCTACCAAGTAAACAAAAGCACCAAATCCTTCTGAAACATATTGATGTTATTAAGGCAAACCTGTACCCAAAAAAGTATGAAATAATTTGACTAAAGCTGAATTGCTTCTGGAATTTTTGGCAGTTTTTTATTTTGTTGTTTTCAAACAATGCCACTTTAAACAATCCCTAGAAGATATAGGTTTTACCTGTGGGGCCTTCAAACCTGGGTCCACTTGAATCCATAAGAAAATTTGGTTGTGGTTTGGGTATTTTGACACTGATTACATAAAAAGAAAAAAGGATGTAAAAATTACACATTATAGTTAAAGACACTCAACATTTGTTAAAAATAAAAGGATATTTGGGGGCCAGGGGGGCTGTTGCCTTAAAGTTCCTGGATTCAAACTCTGACACACCTGTAACTGCAGCACAGAAACAGGAGACAGCAGTGACTTGTCATAGTAACTTAAGCTGACCTGAAAAACTTTTTTCATCTCTACACAACATCTTTACTCTTGACCCTCTTCCATATTTTTTCTGCCCCCAACAGCTTCCTTTCCTGTCTCTCCATCTTTAGTTCTCTGTCATCAGCTAACAACATGATTCAAATGAAAAACAATAAAAAAAAAAATTAATAAAAAAAAAATCATGTTCTCCAAAAATGTTTTTGGTGCCCCCTTTAGCACAGCGCCCCTAAGCTTCGCTTAAAGTGTGTACCCACTTTTTGTGCCACTGCTTAGCCCCCTGTGATCCTGCAAGGGTAAGTGGATATAGACAATGGATGGATGATACGCAATGAACATAATTTATTGACAAAAGTAAAATATGACAAATGAAAACACGTCAGCATAAATTGATAACAGAACAACTGAGACGAAGAAAGGATTTTTCTTATTACATTCCCTTTATCAATCTTAGAGTTAAACTAAATTACATTGAAAACTAAAATTAGTTTCTCTGCCCATGTTGCTTCAGAGGCTGCAGTACCAAGAAATCGATCGCTTCTGTTTGATTTCTCGGTACAACAAGTCATATATTCATGTCCAGGTTGTATCATTCAGTTTAATAGGCAGCTGCAATAGCAAAATTGTAAAATAAATAAATAAATAAACAAGGTCTGGTGTGGAGATCTTCTTACACGGTTTTGTGTTGTTGTTTTTTAATTGCCATGATAATCTGTCTTTGTTAAACTTTTGACATTTAAGCCTGACAAATGAAAGTCAGTCACCAAAAACAGATTTCCAACACATTGTATTTATATTTTTTTCTCATGCTAATGTTAATGCTAATATAAAGGGATAGAAGCTGGCTGATAGTAGGGCATGAAAAATTAGACTTCATGAAAAGATGAGTGTAGGCTTTCTGTAAGATCCCGATCTCATGTAAAATATGACAGATTACTGGATTAAAGAAATTTCTAGTTGCTAATTATTGGTGGCTCAAACATGCTATCACACATAGCAATCATTGAAAATTTCTAAACATTTGCTTTTTATTTGCCAAAGTTACTTGGGAAGAACCAAATATTTCAGCTGTCTGAAATAATCTGTTCTACCTCCACAACATGGGAGCTAATTATTTTTTCACAAACTCTTCAACTATGTTTTGCCCTCTCTTCATGAACAAGTCTTGTGAATGTGGTAACATTTGCTCATTATTATATTATCATAAGTTAAGGACATGAAATATCGTCCAGTGCTAACATTAGATTAACAGGTAAAACTTACATAACTCCAACTCCTTTTGGACCATCTGGTCCATAATGCATATATGAGTCGGAAAGAAGTGGTGGCCCATCGGTTCTGATTGTCAGGTGTGTCGAGGTGGATGTCTCTGCAGTTGTGGTCTGATGTGTAGTAGATGAGATCTCAGGTGATTCTGTTGACCTTTGCTCCGGTACTGGTTTGGACAGAAACCTGTGGGTCGGTTGAGTAGGTTGAGTCTTATCAGTAAATCAGCTTAGGGGAAACTGTTACCTTGGATACTCAAAAAGTTGCTTTTTAATCTGCCAGGAAATAGTTTTGAGTGCACTCTGACTATGAAATAGCAACTGTGAGATAAGATGTTGCACAGAAGCTGTACCTCTCACAGGAAAGTATGGTATCTCTCTGCAGAGCAGCAGAGAACTCAAGTCGTCTTCTGTACGTACCGAAGAAAATGAGTCACGAGGCTGAACTGCATCACACAAACTTTCCTTCCATCTTTTAAGATTTCACTGAAAGACAAGAGGTCGAGGCATTGCTGATCCTATTTGAGTTCAACAGTCATGAGGATGATCTCATAGAAACTATTAAACCTTCGACTTACAAAGAACGGAATGTGTTTGATTTGACAGAGAATTTTAACATGCTTTCTTCAAGCATAATCTCCAATAAATACATACTGACTCACATGTATTCAGTTGATCTGCAGGTTTCACTGGGATAGTGTATGATCAGGCTGCTGACTCGATAGATCTCAGTGGACAGCTTCTTGTTTTGGTCTTTGCAGTAGCATCCGTCTGAGACTTTGACATCTGACATTCAGCAAAGCAAAATACATATATGATCAAACAGAATATAAACTTTCATTGACAAAAAAATTAAGTGACAAGTTTATCAACCAGGAAGAATTTGGAAATCATTTGGTACTCCTGCTTATGAGTGTAATATGGTTTGAATTCGTTGGTAAATCAAGAGTTGCACCACAAGGCATTAACAGTGACAGTATTATTAAAGTCCAAGAGGTTAGAGTCCTTGTCAAACGGCATTTTGACTAAAGTCCAAAGGGTTGGAGTCCCAGTTGACGGCGTCTCAGCTAAAGTTCTACAGCTTTTTATTTCTCTTTCTCACTGTTTATTACATGCAGTTTTTATTTTAATTATGTAAAGCACTTTGAAATGCCTTGCTGCTGAAATGTGCTATGCAAATAAAATTTGATTGATTGATTGATTGATTGATTGATTGATTGATTGATTGATTGATTGATTGATTGATTGATTGATTAAGCAGTTGCCAAAACTTAGCCAGCACAAAAAGTAAAAGACCTTGTGAACATACTGGCTAAGAGTTGGTTTGCCTTTGTCCTTAGTGAAAAGTGTTTCATAGCAACAAGGGCTTTGGGCTCTAGAACCAAAGAACTGTCAAAGAACATCAGACACGTTATAGTATCTACAGAAGACTGGAATGAAGCCTGTAGGTTTGGTTGAACTGAACTCTGGTGCGGTTCAAATGCATATGTGTACTCAAATGGAGACCACTCCAAAAGCAACGTAAGGGATTTTGGGTAAATATAACCAAAACAAACAAGCATATCTAGGCACTAGCAGGAGAAATGGCTCATGGTCTTTTGCCAAAGACAAAAGAGAAATCCTACATAGATCTAACGCAACTCCATTTTTGTTTACATTTCGTGAAGACGGAAGTTATTCTCAGAATCTTGTTCAGAAGTTTTTGTGTTGTTTCCTTCACTTGTTCAAGGTGCAGCGCCCCCACAGGCGAGGAGGGAAACAGGTTATTCACAAGGCTTTGGCTGTTTGACTTTGCAGTGTATAAGTCAACCACATCAGCTGAAAATGTAAAAATGTTGCAACTTCGGTCGAACCAAGTCTACTGGATTACTAAGTGTGAAAACACCTCTAAATTCTACGGGAAGAGGCCTCACCTGGGCTGTGGAGACTAATGGGAGCGATCATTGGTTCTATTTCAGGAACACCAGCAGATGGATCGTTTCTTTCCCCAGACATCGGGGATCTCATTGGTACTATTTCAGGAACACCAGCAGATGGATAGTTTTCTTCCGGGGATCTATGAACATCAGGTTGTTTTGGACTCTTGGGTTTTTGTTTCATTAATTTGGGTTTGGATGCCGACTTTGTAGGCTGTGGGGTTTCAAAAACCAAACTGGTTGAGTGTGGAGCTTCAGGAATACTCAAGCAAAACTCTTGATGATGCACCGCTTCATCACGTTTAGGTGGCTTCTGTCTCCCCAGTTCCTCGTCTGTAGAGAAAATAATGAATGATTAAGAAGACTAAATATACTTGGTTAGGTATGGATGTTTCCTTTGAAAATGAAAATGTTCATTAGTGTTGTTGAGTAAACTTGAACAGAATCAGGTGATCCTGTTCTAATTTGGTCGCCTAGTAACTGGACATTTGGTCCATTTGGCAGGGATAGACAGTTTTTAGTTGTTAACAATCTGAAATCATGCAACTTTGTCATTGCGTAACCCAAACTGAGCAACGAGAGGCCGCTCTTCACTCTTTTAAAGATCTATTGATAATAGGTTAAGAATTCTTACATCAATAGGCTAAGCTACGAAAACCAACAATATCATCAGAACTTTCAAACAGATCATTAAAAACCTAGGAGAGTCAATGTAAAAAGACACAAGGGAAGCACTGTGACCAGCAGAACCTGGTGAGACAGGCGAAAGACAGAAGATTTGCATCACCATGTATTCAGAAAAGTTAAGAGATAATCAAAAAAGGCTCAGTTTGTATGGAGTGAGTGAATATCAGACTGAGAAGTGGTGTAGAAAATCATAAGGTGACCTGAATAGTCTGGGAGATTCAGTCACCTGAAAACTAACAGATGAGGTGAAGCGTTCATTTAGTCTTTCACATGAATCTGTTCATTGGTGTTGTCGAGTTTTTTTTGGAAGACTGAGTTTCAACAATGTGTTTGTGCCCAAACAATAAAGTCAACATGTCCCTGTTAAATGAACAAGATTAAATTTTTTAATGTTTTTTTTCTTTGGTGGCAAAATGATATTCCATGTTTCTATCTGTCTAGTTTGCTGTCTGTATTCACCCTGATGGTTCTCATAGGACACAAAAAGATTACAAGGATTACAGTTCTGTGGTTGACAAAAGTCTAGATAATTTCACACAATAGATAAAAAAAGTAAGACTTTTATTCCTTTAGAGAATATTAACCACTTTCATACAGTAGGCTCCTATTAACTATATTACATGCATAACTTGTAAATCTGTGCAACACAACTGCCCCAAAAAAATGGATTATTATTAGAGAAACAAACAACACTGTACTGTACTCACTTTCTTCAGTGTGTTGAAGCAGCGGAGCCATCAGTAGCAGGTGAATGAAGAAGACGGGACCCATCCTGATCATCTGGATGTTGATTCAACCACTCAGGCTGTGATCAGACTTACTGGCTTTGGTTATGCAACATGAAGTTTACATTATGGAGGACGATCATAATCTGATTGCCCAGAAGCAAATAAGGAAGGAAACGAAAGCTGATAAACAATCTGCTAATAGACTCTACAGGTTGACCTTATTTGGTTGTTTCTGTGTGTATTTGTAATGAAAACAGAATAAAATGATTTAATATAAACTAATATGAACAGAAGAACCGTCAGAGTCACCCCAGAGTGATGATAGTTCATCTCATCACTCTGGCTGCCAAATGAATTTTTTATTTTTATTTTTTTCATTTTATTTTGTTGTTGGCTGCATAGTGAGGCAGATGGTAGCACCACTGCCTTGCAAGAAGTTTCTGGGTTCAAATCCCAGACTGGGGTCTTTCTGTATGGAGTTTGCAGAAAGACCAAGTTTCCATTCAACTGAGTGAAAGAATTTGTTGGGTTCATTGAGTACATTATAATATCGTCACCAAATAGGTCATTTTGAAGATCGCTCACACCCAAATACCTTTATGAGATTTTAGGACAAAATGAAACATCCCATTTTGAATGAAGGTTTTATTGCTGATTGTGTGTTTTTTATTCTGTAAATGTTGACTAGTTATGATTGAGCTCATCTCAGTTTGTGACAGAGATTCAAAACTCAAAAGACTCAACAGCCATAGGTTTATGTCAATCTGTGTTCTTCCAGTGTTATGTTTTCCTATAGTCTTCCTGTTTATATGAACATTTTAAACACATCAACATTAATTTGATGAAATCCAGATTCCTGTCACCGTTAGATTTGCTGAATTGGCTGCTTTGAACAACAGGAGAAATTGAAACTGCAGAACAATTAGAAAGAAAGTTTACTGATTTTTTTATTATTATTATGGAATAAGGTGTTTATACATTAAATTACAATCACTGTTTGTACAGCTGGAAGTTTGAAGAAGTAGGTTAAACTGATTTTAAGAATCCATGCAAACCAACTACAAGAAATCCCTTCCATTATACACTGCTCAAAAAAATAAAGGGAACACTCAAATAACACATCCTAGATCTGAATGAATGAAATATT